CTATTTTGGTCTCCAAGACCTTGGCAGTTCCATGCCTCTTGGGGACCGACTTTTTGTCTAGAATGCCTATTCGAATTCTCGTTGACCAGGGCTGTGTGGAAATGCCTTCAGGGAGGCGTCTGAAATTCCTACAATCGCCTACCGTAATGTCTCCCTTGGTTGCCAGTGTGCGGGCCTTGAATAGGGCGGTGGTGACCGTGCCGCCGACGTCACAAATCTTGCTACCCCTTAGGTTACGTGGACCGCTCGAAGGGGGCTCCACGGAGACAGGTATCCTCCTGTCCCCGTCGAGTTACTTTTCAAGGACGAAGGGATTGGTGGGCGCCTTGACGGCCGTGTCGAGGGACCAGGACCTTTTTCTGCAGGTCCTCAATTCGGGGCCCGCGCCGATCGTAATCCCGGCTGGCACCGTCCTGGTGCACGCGACCCCGGCTCCCCCACCCAAGAGCGCTGCCCTGGATGGAGGAATCGTGGCGGGCGTGATGCACGCGGGGGACTCCGACCCAACGTGGATTGCCATGTTTTGCGACGAGAATGTCACGTTGTCCACCGGGGAGCGTCAGCAACTCCGCGAACTCATCGAGAGGTTCACCGATGTGTTTAGCCAAAGTAAGTTTGATCTGGGTCGCACTACTCTTTTGGAACACCACATAGATACGGGCGACTCAGCTCCTATTCGACTTAATTCCCACCGCTTTAGCCCTGCGGAAAAGGAGCATGTCCGCTCGGCTGTCGATGAAATGTTGGCGGCGAACATCGTCTCCCCTTCTACTAGCCCTTGGGGTGCCCCCATTGTGCTAGTCAAGAAACGGGACGGGAGTCTCCGGTTCTGCGTCAATTTCCGTAAATTGAACAAAATCTCGGTGGCTGATGCATAGCCATTGATTCGCATGGATGATTTCCTGGATGCCCTCTCGGGCGCGCGGTTCTTTTTGACTCTAGATTTGCTCTCCGGCTTCTGGAAATTGCCGCTGGACGAAGCCTCTAGACCCAAGACAGCGTTCGCACGCCCCAGGGGTTGTTCGAGTTCTATCGGCTTCCTATGGGTCTTCATTCGGCCCCAGCCACCTTCCAGCGTCTCATGGAGATGATCTTGGCGGGGCTGCAGTGGGAGTCTTGTTTAATCTACTTGGATGACGTTATTGTTTTTGGGTGTATGTTTGACGAGCACTTGCAACGCCTTGAGGCTGTGTTCACCAAGATGCTTGCTGCCGGCTTGAAATTTAAACCCCAAAAATGCCATTTGCTATAACCATCGGTGAAGTATTTGGGACACATTGCTAGTGCGTCAGGTGTCGCCACGGACCCAGAGAAAACGGCTTGTGTCCGGACATGGTCGACTCCCACATCTGTCGTGGAGGTGCGTAGCTTCGTCGGCTTCGCATAGTACTATCGCCGGTTTGTCCGCGATTTTGCGACAATTGCGAAGCCACTGCATGCCCTTTTCGCCAAAGGCCAAAAGTTTCACTGCGGAGCGGAGAAAGAGGCTGCTTTTGTGATGCTTCGCACGGCCTTGGCAGATGCGCTGCCCTTGGGGTACCCCGATTTCTCGAAACCATTTCTGCTCGACACCAATGGCACCTGCACTGGCGGCGGACGCCACATGAGGAAGCGGGCCGGTAGCGCATACCCGTTCGAGGGGGATGCGGCTCCGGTGATGGCCTTGGTGGCCGTTCATAGGGCCCCAGCCCCCGGTGCCCGCTCGGCACTGCCGGCCGGAAGAAGCCGTCTGACTTTTCTTTTATTACTATATTTTTTTTCCCGTTCGTTCTGTTGTTGTTGTTACTGTGGTGCCTGGGATGCCGTGCTGCCCTAAGGTTGGGGTTCTTCTAGCAGCCGGTTTTACCTTCGGGCACGTGCACACTTAGTTGTTCGGCCTTCGATGGGGGGGTTGGGCCCCGCTGGCGTGGTGGTTGCAGCTGGGTCGGCTGTTTTTTTTTTCACGGGGGGGGGGGGTAATGTAGAGGAGTAGAATGGGGAAGTGGCGTCACGTGTGCTGTCCAGTGCGATGACGTGACGCCATGCGCTTGGGGCAGCAGAATGACGTCACGGCTCCTCAAGGATAAAGGGGGGACCCCGTGACGTCAGCAGGGTCGTAGCGAGGGAGTAGGGTCGGAGAAGGGTGGAACGGGGAGCCAGGGGCAAGAGGATAGGGATAGGGGAGAGCACAGTGCCAGGCTGGACGTGGCTGTGCTGCTCGGTCGGCCGTGTTGGTTGATCCCACAGCCGGCGCAGAGGAGACAGCACAGGGCAGCCGGCTGTGTCGGGACATAGCCCAGGACCCCTAACCCCTGGGAAGTTGTTCACCCCTGTGGGTCGTTAAGATTTGTAATAAACCTTTGGTGGAAGCCCTTAACTTACCTCAGCCACGAAAGTGAGTCGTCGGGAACTTCTCAACACATACATACACAGCAAGGCTCAGATTCTGTTATGCTCAATGAGCTCCACCACTCCCACTCTGTCCCCTATGCACCTCTTGATCATTTCTTTGTCAGTGGGCGAACGTACAAATCAGCATGGGATCAAATACTTTTTTTCCCTCACTGTATGCCATACACAATTGAGTCACTTGCGGTGGAATTTTCTACTTTTAGCAAATGACGATAGAACACAATGTCCTACTTGTTTCGAGTGACATCACGGGACCTTTGATTTCCACTGCGAAGCAGGGGACACTACGGTAGTGAGATGTCAACTACCTCACCTGGTGCGCAGGAGGTCGTGGGTTCGATCCTAACCCTGACACCTGTATATTTGGAGTTTGCATTGTCTCCCCATGGTCGCGTGATCTTTTCTCCGGGTCCTCCTGTTTTTCCCTCCTCATTTAGAATCAACACGCATTTAGAGGTATTTGGTTGCTATACATGTCCATGTGATTGCCACTTCGTTGAGCTATCATTTGTGACCAGGTCACTTCTGAAAACGAGCTATATAGCCAAGTGGGCCTGACCTGGTAAAATAAAAAATGTTCAGTATTCATAGTTTAGTTTTAGATCGTAAGTATTTTACTTTTAATAAACCCGCGGTAATAACCAGGGCGGTCTTCCGGATTTGAATCGTGGATCTTTGCAAACAGGCAGTGAACGCGCTACTGCTATTGGCCGATTCAAACACCGTGTCAACCCGGTTCCCAGGGGTTTTGTGGAAACGCGGCATGACAAGTGTGCCAATGGGATTCCAACTGGGAATATGAAAGCAAATAGGCAACTCGTACCACTGTTCTCGTTCGTGAGATGCTATGATGACATTCATGTTTTACCTCTTAATATCCAGGCTCGCAGCTTTAAATCATCCTTGGAAACGCGCAATGTTGAGCCATTGTTGGCTTGTGGTTGCAATGTGAGTCATCAGAACACTTTTTGAGCCTTCACATACTTTGCAAGATTCCACAATGCAATGCACATCGTGACTGCCCACGCTGCAGTACAATTGCTCTTTCCCTCTTGAAGTTGCCAGGGATATGAGCAGCTTCCTGAATGTCCTTGTGGGTAAAATTATTACGGTTTCTATGATTCTTTGGCTGTGCGGCTATGAGGAAAAGCCATCCGTAATTCAAATTCCACTCGGATGTCTCCCAAATTACATACAGCAGTAAAAAATGCAGTCCCCCCAGAATAATTATCCAATTCCCCCCTTTTTTTAAGCGCACATTTGCATGTCAACTTCACACGTGTCGGATGGCCTAAAACGCAGCGCAAGTATACATCAAAGGCATATTTTTGAATGCACGTGCACAAAGGTGATCGGCAAGAAGACCACGCAGTGCTCTCTGGGCCTCGTGTTGCCACATTGAGCAGGTTCACACAAAGTCAATGCACACAATAGGTTAAACACGAACCATTGCGACCTAACATTTAAAGTTAAATATAGAGCTGCTGCGACCATCGATTACTGAATTAATTTATTAATTATTCAACTATTGCGCCATTACACTGATTAAATAGCAAACAATTAGCATATCGGACATACAGTACCCTGGCGTTTACAAACTAAGTTGCCTCTGTGGTAGTAGTTACATTGGAGAAACCAAACAACATATCTCGGACCGCATTCGTGAACACAAAGCAGACCTGAAACACGGTAGGATCAACACCTCGGCCGTGGCAGATCACTGTTATAATTCAGTAGGCTCACATGACATTGACTTCTCCAAGACAGAGGTTCTCTGCAAGCCATCTGGCTACCATGAGAGATTCGTTCATGAGGCTATCCACATATACAAACACAGAGACAATTTCAACCGAGAAGATGGATTCTGGCTTAGCAATCATTGGAAAAATTTGATAAACCATTTCGGGTCTTAATTGATTGTTCACGCTTATGGTGGCTTTCAGACCGCATTCCATTCTCGTCGTCTCCCCCCTCCTCTTTTCCGAACATAGATGGACTCGTCCACCTGAATAACTGCCAAATCGCTCTCCGTGGTGCTAACGTAAAAAAAAACCCACTTTTTTCAAATTTTCTTGCTGTGGTTTTCACACCTGATGATGATTGCTTGTGTTGCAGTCGAAACGTCGTGAGAATTTTTTTGTTTTATATTTTTATTATTTAATTGTTTCCCTTCTACGTGACTTTACCGAAAGAACCAAGAATTATGTGGAGAGCCTTAAAAACAGCAGAGCCTGAGCCTTAAGATGCTTTTTAGAACGTTTAACAGACTCAGGTTCCGTGATGGAGCGAGTAAGGAAATTCCACAATCGCGGAGCTTGGCCGCAAAGAGTTTCATCTCACATATGACAAAAGTGTGGTCTTTGGAAAAATCAGGAGAGCAATATCAGAACATTTAAGTTTTCACAGTGGAATAAAAAAAATGTAAGCTGATCAGTGAGATGTTTAGGAGAGAGCTGGCGCAGCCCGGGGAAGCGTTCATCCAGCAGTGGATTGACTACGATTGTTGATGATGATGATCTGTTCCAGCACGAAATTAAATGGCTGGCTCACGTTGCTCAACTGCTCGAGTGAAGTAGGTACCGTGGACACGGCAGCCTCTCCGTCTTTACCTGCGGCAGGCCGAGAGGTGGCAGCTGCGTGGCCGCGTGTGGCCGGGACCCGTGTCTGTTTGGGCTGACCTTCTCCAGGCTCGACATCGGAGGCTGTGGGGGAGACACGGACACACAGCACACACGGACACACAGCACACACGGACACACAGCACACACGGACACACAGCACACACGGACACACAGCACACACGGACACACAGCACACACGGACACACAGCACACACAGAGACACAGCACACACACCGCACACACACCACACACATCGGTGTCACTCAAATGCACACCACCAATTGGGAGCGGATATTGGGGTTCGGAGCAATTGTTTTCCACGTCTAAAGCGTTCACAATTACCGAACTGAAACGGCTGTGGTTTATTTCTGAAAGGCATTGTACAAGCTAACAATCGCAAGTCAAAAAGGCTGCAATGGACAATGGGCAAGTCTTTCCTCTTTTTTGGTGGTCCAGAGTCAGCGTTGGAAGGCTATAAGTCAAATAAAATGTTAGTTGGCCCTTACATTAAACAAAAAAATGTTTTTAGGAACGTCCACGGAGTTTTCCTCTTTCAAATATGACAAGAAATCCCGAATCCTAATCCGAGCATTATTATTAGACCAGCAACAACATTGCAAAGGCAATGTTTAACAACTGTGAAGTTGCGGGGGGGGGGGGGGTGGAAACAACGATGTCATTACACAGCGCCCTCTACTCGACGATCCGTGTCATTGCACGAGAGTGGAACAACGCGAGACCCAAACATCCCCAGCTGCAATAATAGGGGTTTCCCCTTTTTTCTGGCAACAAAACTGAAACCTTTTTACGAGGATTCATGTCTGCATTAACCACAATACCTGCAGTCAAAATGCAAACAAAAAACATACTATGATCATATATGCATTGTCCTTGAAACTGATTGGTCCACACCAAGGGACGGCTTTCTTTTGAGCCTCGACCCAATTGGTGCTCGACCACATGACGCCCGAAGGCGTACAGCTCAAAGACAATGCACTATCAAAGTAATGAGGGCTCGGGGTGAGCATTTACATCATTAGACCTCCTTTGCCAGTACCAAAATGTAATAATAGGGGTTTTCCCCTTTTTTCTGGCAACAAAACTGAAACCTTTTTACGAGGGTTCATGTCTGCATTAATCACAATACCTGCGGTCAAAATACAAACAAAAAACAAGGACAATGCATATATTATCATAGTATGGTTTTTGTTTGCATTTTGACTGCAGGTATTGTGGTTAATGCAGACATGAATCCTCGTAAAAAGGTTTCAGTTTTGTTGCCAGAAAAAAGGGGAAAACCCCTATTATTACAATTTGGTACTGGCAAAGGAGGTCTAATGATGTAGATGCTCATCCCCAGCTGCCTTCGATATTCCTCCTCAAAGACATCGGTGCAACCATCAACCGCATTGCGAACATCGGCAGGCCAATGCGCACATCTTGCTCGTGCATGGAAAATTAAATGAGAGCCACGGTAGTCGTGGGACTGAAATTAAAACGATAAAAAATATTTTACCAGGTAAGGCCCACTGAGCAATAAAAGCTCTCTTTCAGAAGAGACCTGGCAACAAATGATAGCTCAACGAAGTGGCTTATCACGTGGAAATGTATAGCAGTCGAATACCCTAAAAGCATGTTGATTCTATATTTTTGGTTCTTTCGGTAAAGTCAACGTGACTTTACCGAAAGAACCAGGAATATGAATCACTGCAGTCACGAAAGCTTTAAATCAAAATTCATGTTGATTCTAATTGTGGAGGGGAAAACCGGAAGGTGCAGATACATCCACGCAACCACAGGGGGAGCGGGGGGGAGAGACATGCAAACTCCAAATACACAGGCGTCAGGGTCGAACCCACGAACTCCTGCATACCAGGCGAGGTAGCTAGCATCTCACCACTGTGGTGACTGTGGCCATGTCACCAAAACCGCGGACCCTAAAGGAAACAACCGGAGTCTGCGCTCCTTCAACGGAGGAGGAATAGCAAAACTACACGAACTCTCAGCCGAAGCCCTCCCGCCATGGTCAACAGACCTCAGCATTGCCATTTAGCTCCCGAACACTTTGCCAATTGCAAGGAGGGAACAGAATGTTGAAGTTTGCACTAAAGATCCCCCGTAAATCACGGAGTTGGCCCCCTGTGACGACTGTCGCTAAGATCCCCTGAACTGCACCACCACCCCTCCGCGCTCCTCCCAGAGGACGCTCTGCGTGTGTCCCCTGTGAAGGGGGCCCCTTCCTGACCTCATTCGCAACCTGAACATGACGTTTTCTTGCCACGAATGAACCGCAATGCCTCGCCGTGTAAACCATCATCACGCGAACTCCGCTCATCCTCGCAGCAGGGGCTTTAGGACTGCCATCGAACAAAGACGGCGGTCACCGCGTCGTGCGCGTTCAGATGCGCTTCTGCGGCCGTCTGGAACGCTCTCCCTTCTGATATTAGGCAGGACCTTTGAATCGTTTAGATTGAGAACTAATTTCTTTAAAACTGTTTTTTTGTGTGTTTAGTTTGATGTCCTTCCCACCGCACCTCCGATTAGCATGGTTGGCTACGTACGGTGCGAAAGAAGTTCAACATACAGTCCATACATTTCCGCTTGTTATGGAGTTGTGTGGTCGGAACCCAGCGGTTACCCTGGTTAACACTGCGGGAGTTGAACCAAACAACAGTGCATCCATCTGTTTCACAGTTCACATGTGATATCCATATTTTCCAAGTTGTCAAATGTATTACAAATTACCCAATTGAATACATATTTTTTTACGTATTTTTTACAGCGAATTTTCATAACAAAATGAATACGTAGGCAACATTCATGTTTCCGTCTCTCCACGTAAAAAAAAAGTTTAGTATTTTTACAAAACCTGACAGTACTGATGAGGCACTGAATGTCGAAACCCATCCAGTATTTGCTTGTATTGCTGCTGATATGATGCATTACAAGAAGGCATTGGAGCTGATGGGTTGTGTTAAAAAAACATTTGTGTATTCTGTGTGGAGAGAGGTATATGCATACTGTGTACGAACGCGACAGTGTCTGCTTGTCTATTTTGTTAATTGGGTAAAGTGGCATCGCAACATCGCCGCCTACTGAGCAAATCCTGCTATAATAATGTGAAACGTACGTGTAAATCAACATCTTTCGCGGAGCGCGCTTGAGAATCGCGTGTTTGTAGGCGCGTTGAACTTCTGTCGCGCCCGGTAACGTAAGCCAACCGTCCTCAATCGCAGGTGCGGGTAAGTTATGCAAATGCAATGCCATTGAGACGCCTCTGTCTTTCTGGAGCACGCGGTAGCAGCCCACTGCAATACCTGGGTTCCAGGGGGTTATTTGTTCGCGGTGGCATCCATTCGTCGTGTGCTCCAGGCGAATAATTGGCTCTCGTCCATAGACTTAAAGGACGCCTACCTGAAGCTAATGCAGTGACCCGAATGGTACAAATAACACGAGTCAAGAAACAATACAGAAGCCACCGTGTAGATGTTTGGGGTTGCGCTGTACACAGCTCTCCGATGTGTTCCCAGGTTGTACCACGTGATGTCTGGCGGGAAGCCCGACGTTTCACTCCACGTGCTTCTAGTTCAGCTCCTAAAGAAGCTGTCCCAGTATGCGGAGCGAAACGTTGGACATTGTGCCAAACTACACGCGGCAAGACTCAAAAATACATCTGGCAGCCGAACAATACAAATGAGATGGTGATAGTGAGAATGAAATGTTTTTTTTAAACAAATCACACCTCAAAAGCGTGACAATTTATCACGTTGTAAATTGTCACATGCCTCCAAAATGTAGGTGTTTTGGGTTAGATCGCGTAAATATATAAATGTGCCGTGAAACCCGCCACCACCCGACACAGCCAATTAGTAAGGGTTGCCACGTAAACAGAACGTGCCAATTAGTTTCTAGTACAGCACACCGGTGTGTTGGAGAGCCAAGACACAACATTTACAATCTTGAGTACATTTTGCCAGTAATTACAACCAGCTTCCAACACACTGGTGTGCTGTACTAGTGACGAATTGGCACGTTCTGTTTACGTGACAAACCCCTTACTAATTGGCTGTGTCGGGTGGTGGCGGGTTTAACGACGCATGTACATTTACGCAATCTAACCCCGAAAACAAAAACCTGTATTACGGATGATATTGGTCGCGAAAGCCTCCTGCGTGTCAAACTGTCACATACCTCATGACAACCCATTGTGGGAAGTCAAACAGTGCGTTTTGCTGCAGAGGGACTGGAAATTCCTACCACCGGCTCAAGTGCTTCCCGCGTGCCGCCTTCCCTTGGAGCGAGGGAGGAGGCAACTTTGACTTTGCTACGTTCTTTGATATTTAAGCAGCGAGCAAAGAGCGGCCGTGACCCCGCCAACTCCGTGCGGACGACAGAACCCCGAGATCATATGGGGGGGGGGGGGGGAACAGCCCGCGCTGATGGCACCGCAGAAACTATTTACAGAGTCTTTTCAAAGACATCATCTGCTGGGATGCCCCCCCCCCCGGCCAACGCGAGGCACGGCGCTCCGCTGTCTGTCGGCGTTCCGGAAGGGACGTGCCTCGACTCCCGACAGCAAAGTCTGGCGGGCGGAGGGGGCATAATTGGCGATGGAAAGTAAATAAATAAATAAATAAACTGCGCTTGAGGCATTTTGTTGTTGTTGTTGTTGGCAGCAATGAGACCCAAGCTGAGGCATCATAACACCCTGGGAGTGCTGAGACTGCGTGACCCAAGGCGGAACAGAAATGCAGGGAAGATAGCTGAGACGAAGCTGCAATGCACGCGCCTTGAGTCTCGCCTCGATTTTGCCTTTTTGGACGAGGGTCCTGTTTGAGTAAGAGGCGAGAGGCACACGTGAACAACCAGCTACTAATGTCATGACACAAATACGAATGAGGTTTTAGCCTTTCTGGCAATAAAGCAGAAGGCATACTCTTTGGTTATTAGGTAAAGTCACGTAGGTGTAAAATAAAACAAAATAAATCACGACGTTTCGGGCGCAACACAAGCGTCCGTCATCAGGTGGGAAAGCGTGGTCTGCTGCTGAGGCCGACTGTTTTAAAAGGTTTGAAACGGGT